GGCGTCCGGGCGCCGCTCCTCCAGGGCCCCCAGGGAGGCAGGGGGAGGGCCAGGGGGCTGGCCTGCAGCAGAAGGCGCCAGGCAGCCTCGAGCAATTGCTGCCAGGCTTGCAGCAACACGTTCAGCGTGAGCACCAGAGTGGCCAGGGGCGGCTCTGGCTCCATGGTGCCGACTGCAGCGGTGTCCCAAAGGAGGGTGACTGACACAGACAGGCAGAGAGGAAAACGCTTTGCTGTCCCTCGGCGAGGTAGACAAGCAAGCGGCAAAGCTCCTTTAAGCACGAGCCTCAGATAGCCTCAGACAGCAGCTACACAAAGCAACTACTGACCTGATGCCCTGCTGGAGCCGGTTTCAGCTGCCCTTAAATGCAATTCAGCGTCCAATCAGTGTGGACGTGCTATTTCGAAATAGCAACACGCTATTTCGAATTAGTTTTTGGGTCTAGATGCGTTATTTCGAATTAGCTTATTTTGAATTAACTAATTCAAAATAAGTTAATTCGAAACAGCGCTGTAGTGTAGACATACCCTTATTGAGTAATGGGCTTATCCTGAACTCGGCCATCTCATCTAATGAAGTGGGTTTGGGCCCATGAAAGTGTATGTCCAGATAAATTGGTTAGTCTTTAAGGTGACACGGGACTCCTCATTATTTTTGAGGGGACAGACTAGTATGGCTACCCTTCTGATACTTGTTACCTAAGAGTCTCTTTCACCCAAGCTGCCGTCCACTTTCAAATTGTAACCAGTTACTGCATATTTTATCTAAATCAAGCATAAAATAGTCTCTCTCCTAGACACAAAAATCACTAGTAGGTTTTTAAAATCCTAATAAGCTAATAACTGCAGTGATATCAAAGGAAAAACAAGTTAGGGGTCATGTTTTGCCACTAATGTACAACCATACCACTTCCCTTCTTCCACCACCCATTAGGGGTTCCTACTAAGGCAGGATGTTGTCTCTTCCAGCTTGTGGAGATGAGCAGTTAAAGTAGATTCAGAGAAGCATCCCTCCTTCTGTGCTTAAACCATGAATGATTAAACATATGCTTAAGTCATGACTTTCTCCGCTGTGATCTAATCTTAATGGGAAAGAACACTGCTTGTTTACAATGAGGTGGTTGGGGAGGGTGGGGAGTTGAGAACACTAAATAGAGCTGTGATAATGATAATAGCATTATCTCAGCTTTCCCACACAATTGCTGTGTATCTGCACTTTAATTTTGAACTGCGACGTCTCTGCCATTTCAAGCTGGAGCTGAAATTACCAACTGTGCAAATTCTTTGGTGATGATATAATGTAGGTAAATGTCAGAAGGAAATGAGGACCAGATTTTGAAACACGTTTTTACTTGTTCCCTGAACTGGATATAAGCAATGGTCTCTAGAAGTGTATAATTAATACCTTGTTTTAAACATAGGACTTTCCTCGCCTTATCACAATATTATTTAACTAACTCCTGATGACGGCAAATCTAAAAACAAAAAACAGGTTATTCGCTATTTCCAGCAGATTAAGATACTATGATATATACTACAATCACTTCAACTTCACATTTGTGTATATTTCATTTTTGTATTCATGATCTGTTCTGCACATTTGCTCACTATTCTTATAACTTAAATAAGAGGCAAATAAATGGTCAAAAGGATGCACATAATGGTATGTATTTAATAGGAATCTCAAATGTATTTATAATTATCTATTTCTTTCCACTGTATGAATATATGCACTGCTTTGTTGTTCCAGGAGGTGTCCAGTGCCCAAACAGTAGTGCACTTCTGGAAGCACGCAGCTGTAATGAACACCCTTGCACTGTGTACCACTGGCAGACTGGGCCCTGGGGCCAGTGTATAGAGGATGTCTCTGTGTCCACTTTCAACTCATCTACCAATTGGAATGGGGAGGCCACATGTGCTGTTGGCATGCAAACAAGAAAAGTCATCTGTGTAAGGGTCAACGTGGGACAAGTGGGACCAAAAAAGTAAAGATCTTTGAATAATTATTTATTAAGTTAAACTTTTTTTAGGTTTTTTTTTTCAGACACAGCTTATCAGCAGAGTATGGACTCATTTGCAAAAGGAAACAGTTCAGCTGATGGCCATGTCTGCTCAGATGAGTAAATAACTTTTAAAGGCACAAAATCTAAAATACTAGCAGAACTGTAAAGCAAATATTAGAAGATTGCAATAGGGTATCTTCACAACAACAGGCTCTGCTGATAGCTCCATTGCAAAGTTGTCTTGCAGGGCTGAGCTCATCCTCATGGTGTCATGTGCTGCTCACTCTGGGAATTAGGTCAGTTGTCTCACAGTGCATCTTTCTCTAGGGTTGTCTCACCCCTCATCACTCTTACATCAGCTGTCTCTACCCTCTGGACCCACATTGTTATCTGGACAATCGCATCCTCTTTGGGGCATGGCGCTCCAAGCTATGTTCTTCCCCTTCCAGCACTCTTCAGTCTGGCCCTGTTTGACTGCAGTCCTTTGCTGGGTTACTGGTGAAGCACTGGAATGGGTTACCTAGGGAAGTAGTGGAGTCTCCATCCCTAGCAGTGTTTAAGTCTCTGCTTGACAAAGCCCTGGCCGGGTTGATTTAGTTGGGATTGGTCCTGCCTAGAGCAGAGGGCTGGACTTAATGACCTTCTGGGGTCTCTTCTAGCTCTGGTTCTATGATTCAATGATTCTACTGTCTCCAGCAGCGAGTGGGGCAAAACAGAGGTGGGGGGGAAACCCAAGTCAGCCCACTACTCTGGGCTCTGTTTCCATAACCCTTGAGTGGCTGCCACCTACTGCCCTCCTTTACTCCCCTCTACTTCCTGTCATCCCTGAGGCACTTCCCCATAGCCCTTGTACCCATTCAGCCCTTATTTCACTCTGGCAGTGTTCAGCGAGAGCCTCCACTCTCCTGCTATCCTGCCCAGCACTGCTCTGGTCAGGATGCTTCCTTCAGCAGCCAACCCTACTCTCTTGCTAGTCAGGGAGAGACTACTCTGCTTCACTGAGCAGACTTTTATGTATAGACTGTTGCAGCAAGCCTTCTATCTATTGGCTTTCAATAAACTCATCCCTGGTGGGCTGGGTTCTGCACTGGCTTCCTGCACCTGCTTTAAATCCCTCCTATGCCAAATTGGGGCACCTGCCCTACTACAGGGACACTGGCTCCAAGCATCTTGATTCAGTCCATCTCCTTGGTTCTTGATCAACAAGAAATTACCTTGTGCCTTCCATGTGGTCTTGTGGAGGCATTGCTTCACCTCATGCTATTCCCCAATACTTGATTTCCATATATAGCAGTTAAAACTTTTGAGGGAGAAGAAAGGACAGATCACACCAGTGGAGATGGCTTCCAGGTTAAAAGCCATTTAGTTGCTGTGTTGTTGCCCCCCTAATAGGGGTTTGCCCCTCAGTATCTAAGTCAGACTCTGCTGCTATGGATTGTGGTTTGCACAACTCTAGTAGATTTCTCTCTATGGAACCAGAGAGATCTCAGTTTGTTAACCTTAGTATACATGTTAGGTTTTTCTCATAACCACCATTTTAAGAGATGGCCCAATAGTTTAATTGCCTGGTTTGGTGTAAAACCATAGTACAAATGCAAATTAACTTCAAGTGAAATTAATTTGATAGTATCTCACAAAATTGACATGATTTGTCACTCTCTATTACAGTCAATGACTCAATGTATCCTTGTCAGGAGAAGTTGAAAGATGAAATTGCTGATGTTTTGCAGAACAAGAACAGTGTGTCTTAATAGGGCTCTTTAATGAAGTTTCTAATGCAGCTTCTCTCACAGCTTCTCTTTGCCCAATGTCACCAATATATTGCTTTCATCAGCATGATGGTCCTTTTAAATTCACTTTAAAAGGAAGAGAGGAGGGGGGAGAACTCATATGGTATGTTTAGCACATCACATATCTTAAAATGTGTACACATGCAACTACATTAAAATGCAGTATTAAGCATTCCATGCAGTTTTAATAGGCATCCATTTTACATTTAAAAAAACCATTCTGCAGTGAGTTTTCCTTTGATTTTAAAATAAGCCATTACAGGGTTTGCCTTTGATTTGACCTTAAAATTTTGGAAGCTAGACTATTATATCTTGTCATAGCAATTCCTGTGAAAAAGGCACTGGTTATCTTTCAAATTACCATGTTTAATTCACTGAATCATTTTAAAGAGCAGACATTTGACATGAAAATGTAAATAGGAACCTCATTTTAAGCTCCCTTTAATAAAATGGATTGCTGTGGTAGGATAAAATCAATATTATTGGCCTTATCTACCTTGCAAGTAACAGACTTTAGTTTGTATCACTTCTGTTTAATTTCACCTTGAATAAGGATTGAAAAGAATATTAACAGCCTGTTTTAAGCCACATATACAGGTTGGACCTTCCTTAAAAGGGACTCACTGGTCCAGCAACATCCAGGGTCTGGCATGGACAATGAATGTTCCTAGACCACAGAACCCAGAAAAAGGGAGTTCTGTTGTCAGGGGCAGGAGCGCAGTAAGGGGTACCAGCCACTCAGCCGGGAGCCCAGAGAGTCTGAGTGTAGTGGGGAGGATGGACGGCATAGTGAGGAGTTCTGGCCTCAGCAGGCTGAGAAGCTGTAGCTTGGCTGTGGCATTGGACTCCAGCCCTAGCTAGGGAGCTCTGACCCCACGGGCAGCCAGGGAGCTCTGGCTGTGGAGCTCCATCCGTGTTCTGGCTTCAGCAGCCAGGAAACTCCAGCCCCGTGGCAGCCTGGAAGCTCTGGTATATAATCTTGATTGGGTAGTGCAAGGTCTTTATAAATGTAAAGGTTGTAGTACTTGTATACACTTCTGCACGTAAAGAAAAAGTCACTAGGAAGTCGATATTTGCCAAACATTACCAAACACGTAACTATAAGGTAAAAACTGTGAAAATGTAGTTACTGAGTGGAAACTGTAGGTGCATTCACAGACACACATAGCATGGTTCTCCAGTCTGCTTTGTGCCATGTAAGTGGTAAATCAGACAATTGACCTTGAAATGGTCAGAGGTAGTTGGTGCAGAATTCCCCTTTCAGATAGGAATTCTCTACCAGTTGAAAGCTAGTGGAAATGCATCAGCCATCCCTGCCACTTCAGATGTAAGGGAGGGAGAAGGGCAGTGGGCCCAACAGCCTCCCTGGGCCCTTTTGAATCACTGGGCCCCGGTACAGTTGTCCCCTTTCCCCCCTATCTTTCAGAAGGTCTGATCAAGGGTATTCTGTGGCAGGAGCATGGTCTGCTGTAGACTAGATACCAGTAATGCAGGTTAGAACAGGCTCTTTGCTACTCTTACTTCCATATGGCCTAGGAACCTGAGAATTAGGAACATGCAGCCAGCTTCCTGCAGCTGCCATTTCACTTTGCCCAAGCACATTCTGGTTGTAGTGGAAAATGGAGGTCATAACATGTAATGTCTTTGCATAACTAGATAGCAGCACATAATGTTCAACGTCCTTTCTGTAACAAAGTAAACACAGGAAACAATCCTGCATTCATAGTGGACTAAACTGGATGATCTAATTAGCCTTTTCTGAATCAAGTGTTTGTGTTCCTTAACTCGTGTCAAATTTGAATAGGCTTTTGAGTGTACATAAACAATTTGAATCACTCAGATTTCTAAGATCCTAGAAAACCATAATGTACATGAATAACTTAGAAAAACAGGCCTCAAATAGGGGCAGATGACCATATTATAGATTACTTATTGATATAAACTTTAAGAACTTTGGTCTGGTCTATGTGAAAATGTTCTGCCGTCATAGCAAAAAATCACCCTAATGTAAGTGCAGTTCTACCACAAAAAAGAAACCCCTTTTTGCCATGATAGCTTATTTTGTTTGGGAAACTGATTCTTTAAAGAGTTCTTTACATCAGTATAGCATATACAAATTCACTGAACAAATTTAGATATGTTGATTTAAAGAATTGTAGAAGGTAGGAGCTGAATCTCCATGAGAAATGTTTGCCAGTATAACTATTTCTAGTATAGGCAAGGCCTAAAAAAAATCTGAATTGTTGGATTTAAATGACCATTCTAAGTCTCTTTATATCATTTTCCCTAAGCTCTCCAGCAGTACAGATAACAAAACTTCTTGCTCTCAATTTTCCACCCTTCCTCAATAATTGTTCTGTCTCCTGCGGATCAAGATTACTCACATATCAACTGCTGGGCTTGCTTTCCTGAAAAGGGCAACTGGGACCCTTATCCTTAAATTGAAAAGTGGTGCAGGGGGTCCCATTGAATGTATTCAGACATCTAGCATCTTATCCAACATTTGAAAATATAGACGATAACATTTAAATGGTAAAAATAATGAAAATTCCAGCTGTGGCTCAGCATCCCTTAGGAGTTTACAGTATTACAGTATAATCATTCATTTTGTAATGTTCCTTTTTTGTAGATGTCCTGAAAGTCTTCGACCAGAAACAGTGAGACCTTGTTTGCTTCCTTGTAGGAAAGACTGTATTGTGACACCATACAGTGACTGGACATTGTGTTCTTCCTCATGTCAAGAAGGTAATACAATTCACTGCGTATTAGTAGGCAGGCTATATAAAAATAAATCACAGTCTTAGTTAATCACTGGCCTGGGCTTCTTTGATAGGTTGATATTGGTATACAGTTTTTTCTTGTAGATGGTGTACATGTATTTTAGAGCCAGACCACTGTGACACAACAATTGCTACAGTGAATGATTGTTTTTATTTAATATTAAAACAGCAAACAGTGATTGCACAAAACCTTCTGTAACCCATTATAACGTTGTCCTTGTAGCTGTCAGTTTCCAGAGGACTGAGTTCAGACTCTCTAAATATTCTTTAATTTGTTTGTGTGTTTTATTAATTTATAGCAACTTTCCCGCCATTCTGTTTACTTTGGTACTGCAAACTCTTTGTGGGATTTGCTATTTTACAAACAGCTCATTAGCCACATAGACAGAAACAATGTAACACCACTGAAGCTTCTAGTACAGTTGTATAATTAGAACAATATTTTTTAAACTTGTGTAAATGCAAGGCACAAATGGCCTTGAATGCACACATACTGCTCTGTTTGACTTCACTGGAAAACACGAACAAATATCCTAGAGCAAAATTTGGTTCTATGCTTGTTTTAACATATGTGCATGATTGAAATAGGCCCAGTAAAGGTTAAAAGTCTCTATTATGTAAGTCCTAAAGCTCTAGCAGAAGTTACTCTCTTTCATTTTTGTCCATTCCCTTTTAGACTGCTTTTAAAATCACCAGAAAATAAACTACAAAATTAACCAGCATTCAAATTCATGTTAAAAGGCTCTGAATTAAACACCTGCTGCAGTGTTTTTAATGTACCTATCAAAGCTTTTAGAAGAAGTTACAAAGCATAGATGTTTTTGCATTTTATTTCTTTATAATTAATGCTATAGCAGAAGCACTAACAAAACTAATGTTGCCCAGATATTTCTGCCATATCTCTTTTCCTCTTTTAAGCTTAACAGGAGATATTCTTCTAATATGCACTAATATAGGCATAGTCAATAATGTAATTCCATGCCCATGTGTGTTAATCCCCCCATGGGGCAAGATGATTACTCATTGTCATTTATTTTCAAAAAGTGCAAGAATCTTGCATTAAATATATACACTTTAAAATATCAGTGTCAATTCTCTGTGCTTTACAAAAAACCTCAGTCACGTTTACAATTTCAATTTGTATACACAACTAATTAAGAGAGAGGAGATGAAATGTATAACCTTAAAATATGATAGCTGTGACCACTGAATTTGACAGTATACAGCATTTGCTCTGCTACTTAAAATATGGAATCATAATCCATAATCATAATTTTGCTACGAAGACAGAATCACTACTGTTATTCTATAATTTCAGAGTAATATTAGTTTTCTCATTGAAATATTTCTGCAGAGGTTGTTCTCTGGTGAAGGTGCAAAACTGTCTTGTCTTGTTTTATTTTTATTATTTTTTTAAAAGATTCTTAATAATTTTAGCATATCTTCAAGAAAATGTACTACAAATTGAAACACACTGAACATAAAGTAATAGACATGGGCAAATGAGATAATAAAACTGACAAATAGAATGAATGTCATTTCTACTGCATAGCCAAATGTTATCTCAATACCTTTGCAAGAATGTTCAATTTACAATACAGCTGCTTTCCAAGTTACAAATGAGTTACGGACCAACACTTGGTCCGTAACTCGAACTGTTCGTAACTTGGAACTCATAGAGTTACATGGCAACCACGTGGTTCGTAAGCGCAGATCGCCGTTCATAACTCGGATCCGCATTTACGACCACTTTGGTCGTAAGTGCGGGTGGTCGTAAGTGGAGGTGGCTGTAAGTCGGGGAGCGGCTGTAATCACCTGTTCTTGCTGCTGCTGCTATCAGCAGCAACCCTGGGAATCTTTTCAGCTGTATGCCTTGATACAGATCCTGGGTACTTGACTGACTACATGAAAATTCCTCTTTTTTGAAGAATACACTGGTGGTATAGTCTGGTGTAGCAGTTCTTATGTTGTTCCTCTCTCAGCTACTGATGTTGGAGAGTTGCTTAGGAGCCTTTATCTAATCCCCAGATGCTGCAGTGTCCTACTGGAAGCTGTTACCAGCCCATCCAACATGGCTTGGAGCAACACTAATGCCCTAAGCGAAATTCTGATTTGCAGTTTAGGACCATACAATTTATCCTTAGTAGGTTTTAAAGGCTATTGTTTTACAAATGTATATTTTTGATTGAAAACTTCCAGGTTATTGTTGCTTTAAAAGCAAATCAGTTCCATGGGCTATGGAAAAACGACAGTTATGATTCTGCTAATATTTTCTTCTGCCCAAAACTCAGACTTATAGAATATGACCACAATCTAATTTTTCCTGAAATAATTTACTATTTATCATCAGTAATAAATGTCTGTAATAATTAATAATGTGTGACAGTAAAGTAAGTCATAGAAGTAAAATAAAAGTTCACATTTAAACATGGTGCATGCTTTTTAGGGAGTTTGTCTGTTTAGGTGGCAATATGAGTCCCATGTAGGAAAAATAGATATAATTAAAGTAAGTCTCAGATAAAGACAACTGCATGAATTAAATCTGTCACCCACCTTCTGGGTGTGGAGGTAAGGGTAAAAGAATTAGATTCTGTTACTGGGCTATTTATGGGGGTGGGGTTTTATTATTCACTGCATTACTTACATTTTAGCTTATATCTTAATTTTACGGATAAAACAATAAGAAGCTGCACATTATGTAGTAGATCAGACCCACTGAGCATATCATTCATTCGTACAGAGTATGCATTCATACTTCTATTGACTGATATGCTTTTTGTCCAATGGCTGGGATCAAGGGTAATATTAGGTTAATATCATTAATTTTTTGTCATGGGCAAAATAACTTGTTCTCATACAGCAATGGTCTCCATTATGTAATAGGTTAAATCTTTTTTATTTCTAATTCCTACAGTCCCAATATAATCTTAATTCTAGACATCTTCTGTTTGTGAGGGGAAATAAACAAACTATTGCACTCTTGGTAGGGGATATCACAGTAAAGAAGCAGTCTCGCCATCGAGTCATCATCCAACTCCCTGCAAATGGTGGCCGTGACTGCCCCGACACCTTATATGAGGAAAAGGAATGTGAAGCTTCTCCTGTATGCTATACTTACAGGTAACACTCATACATGATGCATGTCTCTTCAGCACTTCCCCCCTCCCTATTCAAAGTGCAAGGGAAAATAGAGTACAGAATCAAATCAAGACTGGTAAAAGCAAGTATAATTCCATTGACTCTGACACACCTGTTTACATGAAGTTTGTATTTGACCAATTGTGTTAATTTTCTATTGGATTTATGCCCATATTCCAGCCAGAGTAATTTATTCCAGTATTTTGTTTCTTATTACGCATATTTGATATCTGCTGATATAAATATCAAACACACAACTTCAGCTCCTATCAAATAATGCATCAGGTATCTAACAATCCATTTTCTCATAGATTAAAGCATCCTCATGGTTGCTGTAAATCTACACCGGAGGACTCAAAGGAACATTCCAGAATGTAAGGGTTGACAGAATACAAGTGTAACCTGATTGTGTCTCCCACACATAGGGCTATAAACATGACTGCATGAGAGCTACTACAGTAGCTCTGTGCCATGTAAGGATTCCCCTATGTGAGTGCATCCACTAGTAGAGGATGAAACCAGATTTGGAACTGTTTCATAGTACCAGAGCAGCACAAAGCAGTCCAGATGTGTCCCCTGAGATTTAGACCTTTCTAGCAATGGGAAACTAGTTAAACTTAATTGACATTACCATATAAATATCATGCTGAAGGGAAAGGCATGTTTGATTCAGAAAGTAGTATCTTGTTTCTTCCCTAGCAGAAAATAACACCTGTTTCTCCTAAATGCTGCCACTATGTCATAATGATGCTTATACATGTTCTTTCCATTGGCACAACAGAATGGAAAACAAATTGAGGTTATTAATGTATTACCTTGATCCTGTTTTAGAGAATTATCACTTCTGATCCATTAGGAGATTACAGCATATCTAACTGAATGGTATATGAGGCTATAATTATAGTGCTTGAAGCTACCAAAATGCAGTTCTCCAATTATAATTTTAAACTTTCCTTTGCAGTGTCATCTTAATCATTTTATCCCGTAAATATTGGCTGATGCTCAGTTATTTAACAGCTTCAGAACCAGATGATTTCCTGGCATTTCACCTGAGCCACTGGAGGAAGCTGTGTGCAGTAGAACTCAAGGTTTCTAGCAGTGACAGGCAGGGCAGCTTCAGTTTCTTGAAGGGGACTAGAGTTAAATACCTTTTCCTCTACTCCCTCTAGCACTCTTCTTCTTCACTGGCCGGGGCACATAGTATGACACACACACATACACAACCAGCTCCATACTCTTTCCTCAATTTCAGGACCAGTATGAGGAAGGCAGGTTACATTGAACACTGGGCCTAGAGGAAGAGATGATCTCACATGATGGATCACTTTAGTATCACTGCTGATGGCTAAGGCACATTGGTAATATGAGTCATGTATGCATTTTATTTCTTTCACTTTGCGTGACTCAATCCAGTTGTGATTACAGGGAACATGAGAACAGCCATCCCGCATAGGTTTTGCTATATTCAAGGCCCTGTGCACTCTGGGGCAAACTAGGTCTAACTTCCATGGCATTTTGGTAGAAATTCTGTAGCAGCTGTAGAAGAATTTTAAAATGGATGTTTATAACCAAATTAAATATGCACCTGAACAATCTGTATAGTATTGATTTATTTGATCTATTTCAGTCATATAAAATTACTTATCCTTGTTGTTTGTTTTTGCGTAAATTACGTTATCCCACTGTTACAACCTGGTCCTATGCCCCACTGTATAGTCACTAGCCTGTTTGAAGTGATCACAATCTCTGGGTCCACTGTGCTTCCAAATCAACTGGGTTTGGCCAGTCTAATCACTGTTTCTTTGAGTGGTGGAGTGGACCTAGAGTCTAATCACAATCACTTTGGGTTGTGGGGCATTTCTGCCCAGCCATTCCAGACTTGGAAATCCGTGTCTGAGACTTCCTGAGCCTCCTTCAGTCAATTCCTTGCTCTCAGTGCTCCACCTACTCAGGGCACTGTGGAATATTAGTTTAACCTCTTTTGGAACAACATGGCGGGAAAGCAAGGAACACAGGCTTAGCAAAGGAATTTCTTTGAAAGCAAAACAAAAATTCTCTGCTGCTGCTCCCTTCACTGGTCTGATCTCACCTCTCATGAGTGTGAGGTTTGCTGATGTTTCAGGCTAGGCAGAGTCACTGCTTTTCTCACCCTATTGCAAGTCTCTTGTTGCCTTGATGGCTTCTTAGTGAGACTCCTTCAGTAAGGTGTCAAGCACTTGTCCCAGGTAGCGCAGCTATCTAACACAATGCAATAAGTTGCCTTTAGTATATTCAGGCTTGCACGATCACCCTGTCATAAGAACAGCCATACTGGGTCAGACCAAAAGTCCATGTAGCCCAGTATCCCATCTGCTGACAGTGGCCAATGCCAGATGCCCCAGACATTCTCCAACATTTTCACACACACAACAAATCTGGGTTCATAATTGGATTCATGCATAACTCATTCCATCACAGCCATATTTTCAATTTTCATTGTTAGTAGACTTTCATTGACTAATTGTAGCGTGCTCTCAACATACAAACACACATCCATCTCTACCTTGGATCTTAAAGTTGTCTGCCTTGGTATTCAGTTTATGTTTATCATTGGCAATGCTGTCTCACTAATACAGCTTTTGGCAACACCGGTAGTGACGTTCCTTAGTAAACATGCTCTGGAGTTGATTGATCTTCCATCCTAATAATGTGTGTGTTCCGAGAAAACCATCAATACTGAACCAGTGATGATGGACAGGCTGCTGGGTTCGGCTTTAACTGTCCTAATTTCTGATCTTGTGCTGCCACTTAATATGAAGCAGCTGACAAAGAAAAGAATCAAAAACATCAATGGGGTGTTCTTCAGCACTTGCAACTCCTGCAGAAGTTAACAGAACCTTTAAGCAGAACAAAGAAAAAAAAAACAACCTCGGTATGCTATTTCATACCATTGTTACATTTTGTTGTGAATAATCAGTCTAAACTAATAATAAGTAATTATTTATTCTTGTTTCTGGAGTAACCTATTATATGTTACTCACTTAAGTCTTGATAAATATCATTTAGATATATTGTTTCTTATCCTTGTCCTTATTGCAGGTGGAAGACGCACAAATGGCGCAGATGCCAGCTGGTACCATGGTATGTTCGCCAGGACAGTCCAGGTGCCCAGGAGACATGTGGGCCTGGACTACAAGCAAGAGGTGAAAGACTTTATTTCTATCCTTCATTTCCTAAGAGTCAGTGGCTAGATTGCTGAAAAGGGGGAAGTAGTTGTGCCTCTTCCACATTAAGGGTTATCATTGCAACCATAAAGACTAGAACCTTAATGGGTTTTTTAAATAAATGAAAGACATCAGGGTAAATTACTAGATTACCAGCCTGATAGAACCTTAGGCCACACCAACCCATATAAAATACTTGTTCATAAAATATCTGTCCTCGGTTTTTATTTAAATACTGTTTCAGTATGTGACTAAGGTTAATGCTGCTCCTTATTCAACCATTCTAACTATATTTCCTTTACCAAGAGAAGGAAGAATCTAAAATTTATTCTCATTACCTGGGCCAAGTTTTCAAACATGGGTGTAGTAAGTACGTTTTCTAAAAACCTGTGTTTTTGCACATGTAAGTAGTTAGATGTTTATACCCTCTTTGCAGTGAAAATGCTGATTTGCTTGTACATATGTGGTGTTTTTCACATATGTGTACATTTTGGGGGCATGCCAATTATGCATAGATCTGAAACTATGGCTCCTATATGTCTTTTGTATGATCACAAATAATTTTAGTAGTCAAAAGCTCTGGATTCCATGTCACATGTTTTAGAGTGAATGTTTTGTGCTAATGTATTCTTGTAAATGTGACTACATTGCATAAATTAAGAAAATTTTTGAAGTGTATTGAATAAAATCTGTGAAAATTATAACTTCAGTGTAGGGATGTGAATGGGTAACCAGTTAACCTGCAGGAGCCCTGTGCAACTGGCAGCTGGTAGCCAGCAATCCCACAGGGCGGCGAGGCTGCTAGCCCCACCCCTGGCTAAGATCTTGCTTAATTGGTTAAGCGGTTAAACGTAATGTATAACCAGTTAATTGGTTAAATGAGATTTTACAACATTATTGCAATTTCCACTTTCTGCATTACATTAAAGGCCATAAGGTGCCGTCATGATCATCCAGTCTGGCCTCCTGCATGTTGCAGGATATATTTCTGGTTTTTTAATGGAAGCTCTGATCCATTATAATAAAGTTGACTTGTTGAAATGTAGAGCAGTTTCCTGAGCAAGAGATGTTGATGGCAGCATAAGTGAGATGTTCTGATTATTAGCTTGCATGCAATCTCAAAGCAGGTTATGATATTCTTTAGGTTTTCTGTAGAGTAAATCTTTATCAAGTAGCTTCTATGGCTGATTCTAAAGATGTTACAGAAATGTATTTAAGGTAGGCCATGAAAATTATCCTGAAGGTATTGCCTGCTAGTACAAAACATTTCTGACAATGTGTAATTCTCATGGTGGTAAACCAACAACACAATCTATTTCTGAGTTTGCAGCTTCCTGAGGCAACAATCAGATTATGCACCTAAAAATATATTTTCTCTCTTTGATGGCAGCAGTTCAGGACAATACATAATGTTGCCTCCTCATTTGTATTATCATGGCAGAAACAGCATCTGAATCTGCACTATAGTTACAACTTGTGTCTCAAAATCAGTACTACAGATTGAAGCACATCCCAACTTATTTTACCACACAGATTTTGTATATACAGTGCACCATAAGAGTTTTCCTGAGCTTTCCATATAAATGGCTCTGTAACTTCATTCACATACTGTACAGACACTCACACATACACAGTAATGTTATTTTGCAAAATATTGGGGGCACATTTTTCAAACTTGGTATAACAGTGTTTCCCTGAAACTCCACACTGAGCAAACAAGTTCTGAACGGTCTGAGAAAGGTTAAGTGTATTCTGCAGACTCAGTTAAACCAAGGACTTGTTACCTGGCCAGAGTGGAATGATTCTCTGGAGAGAAAGAGGACCTAGGACATGGGAGAACAGCCGTGAAAGAGATACCAGAGATCAAGGATTTTTTTTCTTTACATTTGCAACTGAAGCAGCAAGCTCAGAAATGCCAGAGCTATGAATTGTCAAGTTTAGCAGTACCAGGACTCAGCCTTGACAAGCTCTAGCACAAATTAAGCACTGGAGAACATTTTTGAGTTAGGAACTCTAGAAGTAACCAAATCTGAGGAAAAGGCTGCAGCTACAGTATGTTAATGGAGCTAAATTCCAGGAAGGGGATGAGATTTTCATTCTGCACAGTGTATAAATTTAGCTTTAGAGCAGATTGGGACAGTTGTTCTCTTTTGAGATGGGGGCCCAATTCCCTCTCTGGGCTCTCCGATGAATATCCTGGAACTTGTTCTGCATGACTGAGTCCTGATATGATCACCCAAAATATGGGAACCGGGAGTTAGTTTTGACAATGAAAGTTAAGGCTGCTCAGCACATCTGAAAGTCAGCCCTGAGCCCTGAGATGGCCTATTTCTTCTTTCTTATAGATAAACTAAAAGATTTACTTGGCACTGCTTGGATCTTTCAAGGCAGGGGGTTGGAGTTGCAGGAGTCAGGGCAAGGACTTGGAGATGTGGGGGGCTCAGGGCAGGAGGCTGGGGTGTAGGGGTGAAGGTTTCAGGGTTGGGGGGTAAGGAGGGGCAGGGGCCTGGGAGCTTGGAGGGTGCAGGAGTCAGGGCAGGGTTGAGGAGGGACTCAGGGTGGGGGTGCAAGAGTTAAGACAGCAGTGGGGGGCTCAGAGCAGGAGGAAGGGTGCAAGAATCTGAGCCAGGGGTTGGGAGGTGTGGGTGGCTGAGGGGAGAGGGTGGGGGTTCAAGAGTTAGGGCAGGGGTTATGGGCAATCAGCAATCACTGCCAGGGCCACAGGGATCTGTGCAGCCTGGTCAGCGGCTACTCCCCAGGGCTGGCCTAGGTAATGTAGGGCCACATGGCCCAGCTGCACTGCAGCTCTATGGAGCTGTCAAGGCAGCAGGACACTCTTGTTTTTTGCCCCTCTGTGGTCATTCTGCAGTATTACTAGCCCTGCTGTAACAGCCCTTCCTTTCCATTTGATGAGAAACAATCACATTCCACACACATCTCATTGTCCTGGCACAACCAAACCCTGACCTTGCTTTAAGATATGATAAGAGGAAGCTGAATACCAAATTTAGTGATTCTAACTCTTAGGAGGTGTTATTGAGCAAACAGACTCTAAATTAAACACCTGCTGCAGTGTTTTTAATGTACCTATCAAAGCTTTTAGAAGAAGTTACAAAGCAAACAGACAGACAGAGAAGTGCTCTCAAATATATAGTAGATGCCAGAACTGTGTTCGGGATTGGACCATATGCTTACTAGTTTCATTTCTTTTACTATCTGAGGCATATACAGTGCTAACTCAGATACAAAATAATCAATCTATCGTCTGCCTCTGATTCAAGTGGGGCTCAGCTGGGCTAGTTCTGTGAGCACTGCAGCTGGCAATCTCTAACAGTGATTAAAAAAAGAATAGGAATGTGATGTAATTTGTTTTCACTTTTAACTTTTTCCAATGTCAGCAGTAACCCAACCCAAGAACATTACACATGTTTTCTTTAGAAGATGGATTTGATTGGAAATCTGTTTAGAAGTTTCACACAAACAACTGTTAATTCTGTGAAAGCAGGGTTTTTGTTGTTGTTTTGGGGGTTAGGGTTTTTTGCAGGAGAGGGATTTTCAGGAGATTATGTGTGTGTATACACAAATGAACCATCACTGCAAAATATTGATACAGAACAGAGTAAAAATAAGTCTCTTTCTTACATCCTCTGTAATATTAGCATGTGTACTGTATTTTAACAGGAATGGGGAAAACTGCTGTAATTTGAGGTTCCTCTTCTGCTTAGCAACAAACTATTCTTTTTGGAGTGCTTGCTCATGTCCATTCAGTTTAAATGTGCACCGGTGCCAGAAGTTGTCCCTCAACAGTACCTATAGGGGACCGACTCATATGCCCTCTAGAATGGCACAGTGTAACCCAGCCTACTCCCAGGTGGTCACCCCAGATAACGATGGAGGTTTGTTTAGTGCTGGATGCGGCCCACACTGGAGGCCCTGCAGGCAGTGCAGGAGATCATGTCCATCCCGGTGCTGTCCACTCCGACCCCTGCGATTTCCTGGTCATGGGATAAACCTGTATTTGAACTGTCATAGTCCCTGTGTCAACAGCAACACTCTCCATAGTGGTGGGCATCCTGCTAGTGGTTGTACTCCACAGCCGCTATGCCTCTGACTATGTTAGGTAGATACAAGGCACCCCATTTGGTGTCCAGACCTTCAATAAGGGCAGAAAGACTTGAAGCATGGCTCTGGGTGCAGATCTCTAAAGGCATGGCTTGCTGGTGACTAAGCATAGACCTTTAGAAGCACGCACCCTTCAACAGGAATATTGGTACCAGCACCTGGAATCTCTGAGGCCCCAGTACCACTACAGGGACAAGGGATTCCTGGTACCATTCCCTGGGCTTGTCATTGTTCCCTCAGGGTGGCATCATCACCTGCAGGTGCATCTTCCCGACACAAAGCCCTCTATGGTTCCTGGTCTTGCTCCACATCCCAATACGACTCATCAAGTGCAAGGCATAGATCAACAGCTCTAAGCTTTCACAGATCTGCTGAGCGCTGCCAATCACCCAGACCCCATTCCAGGCTCCAGTCAAAATCAACCAGCTCTGACTCCAGGAGGAATGACCAGTGCCGATTAGGACTAGGGATGTAATAGTGTAGTCGATTAACCATTAAGTAAAAGTTTATAGGTTAATGCTATAGATTACATGCATTCCCTCCTCCCCCCCGCCCACTTGCCAGTAATGTTTTAGCAAGCTGGCTAGTAGTCAGGCTCAGTCCTGGCTTAAAATGAGTCCTGAACCTACCCTGCTGTGGCTCTGCATTTGAAGTGTATTAGGAGCTGGGCGGTCAGGCAGGCAGCTGGACTCAGGTCCAGGAGTACAGACCCTCCCCCAGACAGGAGCTGTTGCCACCCCATGCTGCTACCTTTTTATCAGAGGTAGCAGCACAGAGCAAGTGGGGAGCTGGTTTTTAAACTGGCTCCCCTTGTGGACCAGCTCCTGCCTGGCATCCTGCACTGCTGCCTCTGATAC